GGGGAGCTGCTGACCGAGATTGTACCAGACGTCCATCTCCCCACTCAGGGTCCGGACCTCGATGATGGTCTGGCCCAGGAAGTCGTCAGATTCCCTCTTAAAGCGCTGCTTGACGCGAGACTTGATGTCATCRTCCTCGTCCCACACGCGGACCTTGATGCGGTCAGAGGAGTTATGGCACTCGCTGGGGAGGCGAGAAGGGCCCTGGGATGAGCAGGGGAACCTTTCCAGTCACTCCCCACCACTGTTTCCCTAAACAAAAGGGACCATTCCAGCATGGGGCAGAAACTGGAGGAGAGAGATGTGGGGACACCAGCCCTCCCTCTGGGGTCTGTGCCATAAGCAGGCAACTCAGTGCCAACTTCAGCTTCTGAAATCACATCCTCTGTGGCACAAAACAGCACCCCAGGGACCCCAGCACTCCTTTCCACCCTCAGTGGAGGGAGGATGAAGCCCAGCTGGCTCCCTCCACCCTACAGGGACATGCCAACAGCCAGCACAGTCCAGCATGACCATAGGGAGGGAAGGGAATGGGGAGACCAGGGGTGAACTTACAAATGGAAGTTCTCCTCCCAGACTGGGTTGAGATTGCCGTAGATAGTCTTAGTCCTTTTTTTTGTCTTTCCAACCTGGACAGTGACATAGGGGTCACTGGAACCAGTCTTATCCTTCGCTTGCAGGCCCTGGGCGCAAACCACTGCAGCACAGCATAGAATAGCACAGAGAACAGAGAGAGAGGTCAGTGCCACAGCCACACCAAGACYCCCAAAACAGGCACCTGTGCTACCCCAGGGGCTGAAGCTGCCTGGCAGGATGAGTGGCTGGCCAATGGGGACACCCCCATGGTCCCCAAGGCTGAAGGTGACAAGTGCCCACCTGTGATGCTGATCTTGGCCGACCATTTGGAGGTGCCRTCCAGGACACTCTGCTTGACCGCCTTCATCTGCTGTGTGTGTGTGGTCTTGTTGACCCCAAACACCTCCTGGATCAGCTCAAATATCTCTGGTTTGTTGCGCTCCCGGATCTTCATGCGGTCCTTGAGCACCATGATGATGTTCTGGGTCCGGTCCTCTGCTCCATGCTTGGAACTCTTCTCTGCCGCCCCTGGAGAGGACAGGTGTGGGTGAGATGGGGCGGGGGGCTGGTGGTACCAGGAGAGAGATGAGAGCTCTCTCAGGTGGGTGTGCTGGGCTTGGGGACAAGACAGGAGGAAATGGCTTCAAGTTGCACCAGGGGAGGTTTAGGTTGGATATTGGGGAAACTTCTCCCCCAGAAGTGTTGTCCAGCCCTGGCATAGGCTGCTCAGGGCAGGCAGAGTCACCACGCCTGGAAGTATTCAAGATACATGCAGCTGTGGCTGTTGGGGATATTGTTTAGTGGTGACCACGACAGTGCTGAGTTGATAGTCGGACGTGATAATCTTAAAGGTCTTTTCCAGCCTTAACAATTCCACAATTCCACGATTTCATGCATTAATTAATTCAAACCTGGAAGGATCTACACTCTGCCCAGGATGAGTCTGCCCTGCCCACCACTTCACCCATGCCCAAGTCAGAAACTGCGCCCTCCTCCCTCTCCATAGCAAGAAGGGATGAGTTCGWGGGCCCCAGGTCCTTACTCTGCAGGCAGTCGGCATTGAGCAGGTCCTGGCACTTCTCGTGGCACTTGACGCCGCACTCGGCGCAGCGCATGCCCTGCCGGGCGATGCCCCACAGCAGCCCCTCACACTCGTAGCAGTACGTGGGCGTGGTGGCCGTCCACACCTCGAAGTTRTGGGGCGTCGTGCAGGAGATGGGGTACACTAAGGCTTGCAGGGTCTTCTTGTAAACATGGTTTTTCTGTGCAGGGACAGCGTAGAGAAGGGGAGAAATGCTGAAGCAGGRCAGAGGATGGCAYTTGGGGACATGGTTTAATGGTGGCGCTGCCGGGTTGACAGCACCCCAGTGCTGTTGCAGTTGGATCTGATGATCTTACAAGTTCTGTCCAACCTCAATGATCCCATGATTCTATCCCCAGGTGCAGCCATGAGCATCCCAGAGGCTGTAGCACTGCCAGAGGATGCTGGTGGGGCACAGACCCTGCACCTCCCCTGTGGGCTGGCCCCCAGCACTCAGTGTCCCCCTCCCAGCCACCTCCACCCCAGAACTTACCAGCTCCTCATTGTTCAAGGTGCTCGAGGCCAGTGCGGACGTGATTCCCGCTTTCCTGGACTGGACCAGGGACTGTGGGAAAGAAAGAGAGTTCCCAGATCCAGCAGAGCATGGGAGRTCCCTCCTCCWCTCCCAGTGGTGATGGAACACCCARGACAGAYGCCAATCCCAGATGGGGARGGGTCCTGGCTGCACGGGGGGCACTGGGGAACAGCCCAGCCACCACTGTGCMGTGGGACTGGAACCGGTTCAGCAGCCTGTGGCATTCCCAGTTCAGCTCCAGTGAGGCAGAGCCTCTCAATGTCTGAGAGCCCTGGGGAGATTGGGTGGGGGGCACTTACCATGGCCTGTGGGCAGCCAGGGCAGGCGAGGGGAGAAGAAAAAGCCATTAGTGCAAACCCTTCCCAGGAGAGTCCCTACCCTGCCAGAACCAGTGGGAATCAGGGCAACACCCCCTCATCCAGCACTGGGCAGTTCCTGCTGGGGTGGGATGTGTCCCCAGACCACAGCGCTGGCTGCAGCCTGCAAATCCCAGCAGGAAAAGGCAACAGCCCCCCCAAACCCCTCCACACTGCCCACCCCATCACCCCCCACCCCCACAACACCAACACAGCACAGTGCAGAAGCATCAGCGGCTGCCCAGGAGGGCTGGGGGTGGGGGCACCGGGTTGGGGGCAGCAAGGGGGATGGGGGGGACACAGGTCGGGAACAGGAAGGTGGCAGCCCAGGGAGGGCACACAGTGGAGCTGAAGAGGTGTAAAGAGAGGGGAAGGACAGGAAGGGCACCTAATTCTGGGGGCAAAAGGTGTCTGGTTTCCAAAACTGCTGTCCCCTGCCATGAGGGCTGGGAGGGGAACAGCAGAGTGACCCTGTGCAACAGAGCCCAGGGGCTGGAGGGGACCCCACCACAGGGGGCCCATACACGGGGGGTCCCCAGCCCCATACACTGGGACAGTGGGGACAAGAGCACAGGGTCTGGGCTACTTGGAAAAGCCAMTGCCAGCCCTCCCCTCGTGCAAGGGTCTGTCTGTCCAGCACCAGCACGGTCCGAGCTGCAGGGACCTATGGCAGCTGGCACAGGAAGGGACGAGGGACRCAGCACCAGTAAAAAACTGGGGAACCAGATCCAGCCCCGGGAAGCCTCAGGCTGATGCTTGGTGTAGGGACAGGAGATCCGTTAAAGAGAAGCACCCTCGGGTAGGGAAAGCCCAGCTCCCCACTGCAAGGAGGGCCAGGAGCCCCCAGGGCAGTGGGACACCCCCGCCCCCGTTTGGGAGGGCTGGGGGGGCTGAGGGCTGGCGGCAGCCCCCAAGGGCGCTGTCTCTTTAACCCCTCGCACCGCGCTCACCAGATCGCTGACTAGAGGGAGAGATTTGCGTCCAGGCTTAATGTCGGGCATGCTGTTAATGCAGCGCAGAAACCTTACAGCCGCCCCCCTGCCGCGGGGAAGGCCCAGCCAGGCCACAGGAAAGAAAACAGAGAACACAAGCCATGTTAGAGGCAGCTGGGGAGCGGGGCACGGGCGGCGCGGTCCGGTGGGGGCGCAGCGGGAGCGAAGCCGGCAGCTGTGGGGGGGTGCCTTGGGAGGAACCTCACCAAATCGCTAACTAGGGGGATGGGCTTTCGCTTGCGAATGTCCGGCATGCTGTCTATAATGATCAGCCCGCCACCAGGCCTGCAAGAGAGAGGAGAGTCAGCGGGGAAGGGGAAACTGAGGCAGGAAGGGGCACCCTGTTATTGCCCCACGGTCACTTCACAGAATCACGGRATAGTTTGTGCTGGGAGGGACCTTAAAGTTCATCTCGTTCCACCCCCTGCCACAGGCAGGGACACCTTCCACTAGATCAGGTTGCCAACCTGGCCTTGGACACTCCCAAGGATKGGRCAGCCACAGCTGCTCAGGGCAACCTGTGCCAGGGCCTCAGCACTCTCTCAGGAAAGGATTTCTTCTTCATATCTAGGACTTGGTGGACAGGRCTGCAAAGCAACCACTCATGGGATCCCCATCCCCACCACCACCCAAGCCAGGGCAGGGATCCGAAATGAAAACTGGCAGGAAAGGGATTTCAACAAAAACTCTGATTTTTTCCACATGTGAAGCATGACAGTGAAATGCAGGAGAAAAATGGCCCATTTGGCTTAGTCAGCTTTGGCCTTGCAGCGTGAGGCTGGGGAGCTGGGGTTCCCTCTGGCGCCCTAAGGAGAGCATTGAGCAGGTGAGCCTCAAGTTCTGCTGCAAGAGAACACAAGGCAGGAATGGCACCTCCCAGCCCTGTCGGAAAGAAATCCCCACAGTGATCTGGGGAGTCTCAGGCAACCTACCAGGCTCTGCCCAGTCCATGGCAGGGCTGTCGGCGAGGGCAGGACAGGACTGAGACCTCCAGCCCAGATGAGAGGCTCAGGATTTTCTCCGTGAGGGAAGCAGGAGTTGCCACCCCAAGTCAGTCCCACCCCATCTCACCTCCTCTCTCTCCCCCTCAGCAGCAGCTGTTGTCGACACACAATGGTGCCATCTCTGCTGACTCCTCCAAAAGCACTGACTAGCCCCAAAATCTGGCCTTCCTGCATGCCCACATCTCAGCAACCCTTCCCCACGCAAGCTTGCTGCTGAGCTCACTAAAAAAATCACATCCTAATGGGGAGGGGACTGAGATCCCGGGGGGGCAGAGTGTACACAGCTTCCTCCTTGTACTTACCCGCCTTTGAACCACAGGGATTTCTCTCCATCACCTTCCCCGCGGGCCTGGAAAACAAGGGACAGTGTCAGGGCACAGCAGGAGCCACCAGCATGGGAACAGCCCCCRCAGAGCAGTGAGAGCCCACAGCACTGGGGGAGCATGGAATGATGAGCAGGGTGGGCAGAGAAAAGTGTGTTCCAAAACCAAGGGGGCTCCTCCCAGCAGAGAGAATAAGTATTTGGGATTAAATCTCTTCAGGAGGCTGACCTGTGTGAGCGGTGGGTGGGCTTCAGTGGAGGGGCTGAGGCTGGCAAAGCRGGGGGGATGGCTACAATTGGGGGCTTGGGGGAGTGGAGAAGCATCACAAAGGCTCAGCAGGTCCTCAGGGACCCACAGCAGTTGGAGAGAAGAGCAGGGAAAAAGCCAGAGCACATGGAAAAGGGTGTGTGTGCAGGGATCAACCAGTGGTGCCACCTCCCTTGAAGGAAGGGATTGTTTTGGGGGRGAAGGGAGGAGAGAGACCATCACCCCTCCTTCGTGGGCAACCCCTGCACACACACACACACACAGGCACACACACAGGGAAGGCACACACGTGGCTGGCAGGTTCCAGGGGGACATGCTTACCTGCAGGCAGGCTACACCCCTTCCCTGCAGGAAGGGGAGACGCGGGTGCAAGGGCCATGGTGGTGGACAACTGAAAAGAGAAGCGGTGGGGAGGGGGATCGAGACCCCGGGGAGCGAATCCAGAGCCAAAACAAAAAGAAAAGATGGAGGATGGAGTCTAAAAACAAAACAAAATATTGTCAACTCAACAGAGGGGAGAGGGTGGGGGTCTCGCACCGGCACACACATGCAGCACACATGGGGGGTCCTCAGCACTCCCGGCCCCTCCRGGCATCCCACTTGGTGGGAATGGGGTTGTGGGGCACCACTGTTGGTACCCCCAGGCCAGGATGGGTCCGTGGATGTCCCTGGAAGCTGCCCAGGTGTGCATCCAGCCCGGGGCTGCAGCGGTGGCCGGGGGGTCCTCACCTCCTGCAGCTGCATGCAGACCTTGTTGAAGGCTCTCAGCCAGTTGGCTTTGGCTCGTGCTTTAGGGTCCTGCACCTCCTCTTCTGCTGGCTCCCTGCAAGCACACACAGCCCCTGTCACCTCCCAGCATGGCACTAGGGAGCGGGGAGCAGCCCTCACACCCCCAGCACATCTGAGGCTGTGATTTGGGGATCCTGATGGGCCTTGAGACAGCAAGGACATGGCAAAACCCCATCATGGTACCAGGGGTACCAGAAAGGGCAGCAGATCCCACTGCAAAGGGCAGCACAGTCAGGGCACAGCACTGGGAAGACCCTGCCCTGAGCACCCAAGTGACACACAGGAGACAGTGACACAAGCATGTGAATTAAATATCCTTTGCCCTTCACCTCCCCAGCACAATGTCCCCTGGCCACTTCTTTCTGGGGTGAAGAACACCCAACACCCCTGTGGCTCTAAACCCAGGGAAAACTGTCTGCCTGGACATGCTGAGTGTTGTGGGCTTTTTTCYTCTCCTACAAAATCAAGGAAAAACATGGAGGAAAAGAAAAATAAATCCTCCAAACATACTACACTCCTGGAGAGCCTGGTGTGATATGACACAGGAGAGAGGAGCCCAGAACCACTCTGGGAAGAGGCCATGGGGTGCTCAGATGAACCTGCCCAAACCTGAGGGGCTTTGTGCTAATCTGGGATTCTCTGTGCTAACCTGGGGTCCTCAGCATTAACCTGTGGCTCTCAGCACTAATCTACTGTACCCAAAGCTAATTTGGGGTCATCAATATTAATCTGAGGCCTCAGCACTAATCTGGGGCTCCCAGCACAATCTGGGGTTCCCAGCACAATCCATGGTCCCCAAATCCCAGCACTGCAYCCCCCAAGCCCCCTGCCCAGTCGGCACTGAAGGCAGACCTGACCTGAGGCCCCCAGGCTCCTGCGAGGTCTTGTTTTTTATATTTGTTTAAAAAACAGCTTATTACACAATGTTTTAAATTAGAGCCTCCCCATTCCTGGTCTGTAATTTAAACTAAATAAAAGGCTGAAAAAGCCTGTCACAGTTCATTTCTGCACAGAGGAGTGACACTCACTGAAAATGGAAATGGTCAATAACAATATTTGAATAATTTGTCCCCAAGATATGAATTATTCACATGCTCCACCAGGAACCTGGCCACCAGTTAATTCACCTGTACAGCACAGGAGGCCATGAATGAGCTTTTACCAGGCCTAGGGAGAGGATTGACTCCTGTGAAGGAAATCTCCTCTGACCAAGCTCTGTCCAGGCTGCCAAGAGCTTGAGCCAGAGGGGAGGAGTTGCAGCCCCAGGACACCCCTTCCCCCAGCCCCAGGCTTGTCCCAGGTTATAAATCTGCAGCCCTGCAACCCCAGCAGGTTCTTGAACACCTTGAACCTTGCTTAGCACAGTGGGTGGCTGGGCCAGGGCAGCACGCCCAGGGGGCTGGCTCTTGCCTGGGTGGCAAAAGGTGGGCTTTCCCCACCTCGATATCTCAGGCACCTGGAAAAGCTCCAGACATGGCAGAAGGTCCCTGGTCCTGTGCCAAGCACCATTCCTGAGCCACCTCCAGAGCATCCTCAGCACCTCCAGGCACTGTGCCCTCCCAGGGACACAACAGGACAGCTCCCCCTCCTACCTCTCATCCGGCTTTGGGGGCTCAGTCTCCGGGGCTGCCTCTTGCACAGGAACTTCCTCCTCTGCCCGCTGGGCCTGGAGGGCCTCAGGAGCTTCCTGGGGGATAGAGGTGTCCTTCTCCTCCTTCCTCTCCTCTTTCCTCTCCTCCTTCCTTTCCTGCTGCTGAGGCTTCTGCTGTGGGACCAGCTGGGGTTGCTGCTGCTGTTGCTGCTGCTGTTGCTGTTGCTGCTGTTGCTGCTGCTGTGGCACCTGTTGYTGCTGCTGCTGTGGAGGGGGTTTCTGTGGTGGTGGTGGGTACGTTTCGTGCTCAGGGGGTTCATAGGTGTCCTGCTCCCGCAGCTCCTCCTCCTCCTCCTCCAGCTCCTCGTCCTTGGGGTAGCCCTCTTCAGTCTCACTGTAGTCCTCAATGAACTCTTCCTCCTCCTCCTCCAGGTAGAGATCATCATCATCCTCCTCCTCCCAGCGTGGCGAGTCCTTGCGGTAGCTGACAGAGCTGTGGCAGGAGTGGTAGGAGTCGCCGTCCCTCTCGTCCAGCTCTGAGTCCCTCAGGCTCTCATTCTCGAAGTCCTCGCTCAGCTGGGAGCTGCCCTGGCTCAGCTCTGCCGACGAGGCGTAGCGGCTGCTCCCTGTGGGGCTGAGGGGTGAGGGGACACAAGGACAGGGCTCCCGTGAGTCCATGTCACCTCAGGAGCCCCACACCGGGGCGGGAGGATGAACATCTTGCACCGGGAGCATTGGGCTCCTTGTCCTGGGAGCCGAAGGCACAGAGCCAGGAGGCTCCAAGGGCTGGAACCAGCCCCCCACGCTGGGGCACTCAYAGGGCCTGACCTCCCTGCCTGTGCCTGGGCTGACAGCGGGAATGGGGGAGACAGCGTCTGTCCCCTCAGCTCACCCCAGCCAGGGTGGTGGCAGCAGCACCCCCARCCAGATCCTGCCTCCTGCTGCTGCYGGGMACCCTGTCCTGYCCCCAACACACAGATCTGTCACACAGCTTCTACCCTGACATCCCAGTGCTCCCGCAGCCTTCCTGGGCACCCAGCCCCAGGATATCCCCTCAACCCCTTCACTCCTCCTAACACCATCCCTACCCAGGGGTCCCCTTTTCACTCTTCCTGCCAGGCCAGACCCCTTCCCCCACCCTGTCTGCCCCCCTGGCCCTTTCAGCCCCCTTCTCTCACAGTTTCCTGAGTGGGGGTCCCACAGGGGTCCCTGTGTCCCAGGAGGCTGCTGGGGACAGGGCAGCCCCATGGCTCTGTGGGGACAGGCTGACAGAAGCAGACATGCAGACAGGACAGGGACATGCCGAGGAAGAGGCCGACACCACGTCTCCAGCACTGGCAGCCAGGGCTCAGGGGGTGTGTGAAGGGRCAAGGATGAGGGAGYGCAATGGGCAGAGCCCAGAGTGGCMGAGCCAGGCTGTGGGAAGCCAGGGGACACCACAGGGAAGAGAGTATTGGGGGATGCRCAAGCTGGTCCCAGCTGGGAGGGGTACTGGGACCATCCAGGCACCTTGGGAAGGAGAACTTGGGGCACTGGGATGAAGGAGACACRGCTCATGCCCAGAAACCCCACACCTCCCCATCCTGATCCTGGATAGAGCTGGGAGAGGGGTCCTTGGCACATCGCAGCGTCCCAAATCACTGCATGAGGCTTTTGCCCAAACAGGCGCTCCCTGGCAGGTGACCAGGAACAGGGGGTGGCATTTGAGTCACGGAGGGCCCAGTCCCACACTCACTGGCACGACAAGGAACGGGCAGCGGCGCTGCCAGATGGTCACAGCGCCAGCGAGCAGCACCAGGACACCGGGATGTGGCCCCATGAACTGGGGTGAAGCAGCAAGAGGGAACACCASAGGGCTGGGGGGACACCTGGAGCATCCCAAAGCTGTCCCTGTACAAGGATGTGGGGCGGAGAGGGTGGCACAAGGCCGCCCTTGCCAGGACTGGTGTTGGCCTCACCATGGCTGCACGGAGCGACCACAGCACTCTGCGACGGCACAGGCACAYGGCACAGGCAGTGACCCACCTATCCGATAGGTCTAGGGACCGCCTGCTCTCAAGGGAAGGCTGGCGGCTGGTCCGCCTGCTCGACTCAGAACCGGACTCAGCGTCGCTGCGTCCGTTTGCGGCAGAGTCTACACTACCATAGCGTCTGCCGGGGAGGAGAGGAACATGGTCAGTGAGGTCCCRGCTGTCACACCGCCGCCACCCGCCACCCCCTGCTGCAGAGGGGACACCGGCAGGGAGGCTCTGTCCATGTGGATGGGGCTTGGCGCTTTGGGCTGGGTTCTGCTGCAACCACAGGAACAAAGCATCGGGCAGCTGTCCCTGCCACGTCTACTGCCCCAGACAGCCAACACCCCACTGCCCAGCTCCCAGCAGGGATAGGCAGGRGTGGGGAGCCCCAAACCCAGCATGGACAGAGGAGGGAATTGACCCAAAAGAGTTTGAAAACTTCCCAAWGAAAAGGAAAGGCTTGGATGGGGCCAGCACCACCCTACTCTTCCGCACCACAGCATCCTTCCCTCCATCACTCCATCACCCACCGCCCTAGGAGTGCCATCTCTGGCGTCACCCTGGGGACCTGCTGGCCTCTGTCACCTGCAGGGGAAGTTGGAGAGCGGGTCCCGGGGTGAGCTGGCTATGGCCACACTACCTGATGGGAGCCTGGTCCGAGTAGTCCATCTCGTAGCTCTGCATGGAGTCCGTGTAGGAGTCGCGAGAGCTCTGCTGCTGGTGCCTCATGGGGTACTGGTGCACGGAGGCATTGGGCTGGGAGGTGGTGTAGTAGGGTGGGGGGATGCTGTTGCTGGTCTCGCTGCGGTAGTCGCTGTCCCGGTCRTCCACAGTGCTGTCAGGGTCATCGTCTGCAAGGGGTCACAGTGAGCGGGGTGGGGGATGGCCCAAATCCACCCCTGCCCTGCACAGACCCACCAGTGCCACCAGTGTGTCCCCACCGCTGTGGGAGCATGCTGGGAGGTGAGCCCAGGGCGGGGTGAGGGGTGAGCTGACATTCTCAGCACAGGAAGGGTATGGGGAGGATGAGGGGAAGGCAGAGGGGAAATTTGGGACATACAGAAGGAGGAAGAGGACAGGGGGCAGAGACCCTCCCTCTGTCCCACCAAAGTCCCACCACAGAGGCAAAGCCCAAGCTGCTCATTGTCCCTGGAACAACCCAAGGGCACAGAGCCCCATGGTGCCATGTCCCCACCAGCCCATGGAGACGGTCCTGCCYAGGACAGGGCACTTGGTGACACTGTCCTCATCCAGCACAGAGTCACAGCATGAGGCCACAGGCTAAACCCAAGCTCTGGGTCCTCTGAGCCCTGGGCCAGGCAAAAATGGGTGAGCTGGGGACCCCCAACCAGGGAAGAGAGGAGGGGCAGGATACTTACTCTGCTGTTCTCCCCAGCCAAAATAATTCCAGTTGCCTACAAAGAAAGGGGCAGAGACAATAAAGATGGAGGAGGCTGTCTGGGAGGAACCAGCATCTCCCCAGACGGCACACTGGGTTGAGGACACTGCCCTGGGGACAGCATCCAAGATGGGACACACTGGCACTGGGACAGTGCCCAGGCCTGAACATGGTGACAGCAAGCTGGACTGGAGACAGTGCCTGGTGTGTCACTGGTGTCACTGACTCAGGCTGGGGACAGTGCAACGGCCAGGCATGGGGGCACTCACAGGGGACAGGGCCTAGGGTTGGGCACTGAACCATACATGGCCCTGGGGTGCTTACAGAAGGGGAAACTGAGGCATGTGTCGGGACAATCTGAGCTGCTACCCCAAATCTGGACCCCCCCCCCAGCAAACCCCATCACTASCCTTGCTGACCCTTGCCCCAGGGTGACCATCCTCACCAGCCCCATTGCCCTCACGCCCTGTTCCCTCCACCTACGGGAAAGCTCACCCCCTGGGAGCAGAGAGACAGCAAAGAAACGCCAGCAAATACAGGAAGGAAGACAGGAATGGGGATGGGGACAGGCTATGGGGTGAAGCTGAACCCCACTAGGGCTGGGATTCAATGCCCCAAAGCAGATGAGCAGCCCACCCCTTACAATTCCTCAGTGTGGAGAAAGGAGGGTGTGGGGGTACGGGATACCCTGTGGCAGCAGGGCAGGGACAGGGCAGCACTTACAGCACTGCGAGCCATGCACGGGCAGAGGCTTCTCCTGCTCCTCCTGGAAAGCATACTGGGGAGAGAGGGGCTGCTGAAGGCTTCTGCTGGCAACACAGCCCCTGCCCCCCACCCCAGCTCTGCCTGCACTCACATCATCCTGGTCCCGCATCGCATTGAGCTGCTCCAGCTTCTTGGCCCAGTACCTGGCCTCCTCCTCGGGGATGTCTGTGAGGGTGAAAACACCAGTGGGTACAGAGACATCTTTCACCCCCAGAGCAGCCTTCAAGCTTTTTGGGCCACAGGATCAGACCCTCAGCCCCAGCTCCAAGGCTCATGRGCATCCCTGGGGCCAGGGGCAAGGAAGGACACAGGCCAGGCCTGGGGGAGTCGGGGATGGGSGATGGGGTACCCACCCAGCGGTAGCTCAAAGCGGGTGTCAAGGAGGATGCGGTGGAAAGTCGGATCTTTGGTGCCTGAAATCTCATTGTCAGTCATGATGACCTGGGAGTCGAGCGTGAGCCATTCCCCAGGGCCCTCCTGCAGGGTAGAAATGGGGTGAGGAGAGCTCCCAGACCCCTGTTTCCCAGCCCCACAACCCCAGCAYATGGAGTCTGGCCCCAAGCAGGATGCAGAAGGTTCTGCCTGGCCCAAAGGACARCTGGGGGTGGCAGATGTCCCTTGGRGCTCAGCAGGSAGATGGCTGTGCCTGGCTCCCTACCTCATTGGACTGCCGGATGGTCCGGAGGGGGATCCACACTGTGCCCACCATGGTGTCCCAGATGAGCCCCTTGTTCCACACCTCCACYGTCAGGCCCAGGTCCAGCCGGTTGATCTCACTGGGGACAGGACAGGTATCGGGTTACTCCCCACACCAGGTTAACCCCCCTCAGGTTACCTATTCTCAGCAGCCCCCTGGGACCACCGCAGCTTCTACCTGACCCCTCCACCCCAGGACTCAGATGAGCCCCCCAGATCTGGAATCAGGGCAGTGGAGAACTCCCCGTGTTATTTGCGGGGGTGAGGGGGAGCAGCAGGGATGGGGGAGCTCGGGGTAGCCCCTGGACACTCACAACATGAAGTCCTGCTCCCASGAGGGCAGGTTGCCTCGCACCGCGATGGTCGTGCTCTTGACATTCTGCACCTTCAGGGTCACGTAGGTGTTAAACTTCTCTGTGGGAACAAGCAGAGGGTGAAGTGACCCCCAGTGTGTCTCCAGTCACCGACACTGCCCCCTGCCACTCCCACACACCCTTCCCTCAGCACCCCAGCTGCAGGAGGAATCCCATCTCTGCCAGGGCTGGTAGGATGTGAGCCCCCTGCTCCTGTCCAGGGCACYCCCATCTGTGGGTGTGTATCCCCAACTTGCCCAATGATGTCTCCAGAGCTGAGGGTCCCCTCAATCCCCTTCCCCAACCCCTCCTCTGACCTTACCACACCCCACCAGCCCAAGAGCCCCCTACCCTCCCCCAAGGCAGGCAGGCAGGTGGGGTCTCACTTACCTTGGGGCCCGTCGTACTTGGCCTTTTTAACTGTGGGGACAAAGGAGGGGAAGAGAATCACCCTGAGACCCTGTGGGAGGGGACTGGGGACCYCCACCAGCATGCCAAGGGGGTGGGAGGACCCCAGTCCTGGCTGCCCCCCCACCCTCCTCAGCTCCCAGGTGGGGAAGGTGTCGGGATCCCCAGTGACAAGTGAGGGTGGGGGATCAGACATGAGCTATAGGTGGGTATGAGTGGGAAGCAAAGGCTCCCACAAAAAAACTGCTCCTCTGGGACAGCTTGCAACCCCAAATGACCAGCCTTCCTCTGTTGAGGGGGTGTTACATCCAGCCCCCCCCCCCCCCCCGCCAACACACTTGTGAATTAGGATTTATTTGGATGTTACCATCCGTATCTCCTGGGAAAATCTGTGGTCTGGGGGGCCCTGTCCCCCACTCCAGTCCCAGCTGGGGAGGTCACCAGCCCAGCAGCACCAGGGTTAAGTCTCTCCCAAACCACTGACCCGGATTTCCCACAGGAACCCTCGTGGGTCGGGGGCGCTGTAACTCTCCCTGCCCAAAACCAACCCCAGGGGTGGTGGATACCCTTCCAAAATCCCAAATAGCCCCAAAACGCCCCCACTGCCGCTAGCCTTGTCTCCCTCCTGGGGACACCGTGGGGCTCATTCCCACCCTGCCCATTGGGGTGTGCAGGGGGGCTCCAATCCTGATCAGCACCACGAGAAACCCTTCCCCCCGATTCTGGCTGACCCCCCGGCTTCACCCAGCTGGGTTAGGGTCGGTGCCCAGGTTTTGGCTGCAGTGGGGGGTAAATGGAGCTGAGCACAGCCAGGCACCGACGCTGCCAATAGGGGGGGCGGAGGGGGATGAGGGGTGCCCTCCGGGATGCCAAGAGGGGAGCGGGCGGGGAGAGAATGACACAGCACCCGGAGAACGGTTAAATGACGCGGGTGCCAGCGGGTGCAGGACCAACGTGACCGAGCAGGGATGAAAATAGCCCTGGYGACATCAAAGGTAATTTGATTTCGGAGACGTGCCACTCGCCAGCCGCTTATCACCCGCCACCAGCGCCGGAGGGGACGCGGGGCTGCCGCCGGCGCCACGTGCCTGCCAGGGCTGGGAGGAGGCCGTGTGGCACCAGCAGCCTCGGGGAAACTGAGGCAGGGGCAATCATCGCCTGGGGAAACAACTGGGGACCCTCTGGCTCGTCTGCCTTCCCTGTGCCCACCGAGAGGGTGACACGTTTGGTGGCTTTTAGCCCGAAGGAAGGTCGCCAGCCACGTCACTGGCAGCCATGTTCCCAGGGAATCAGAAGGCTGCGGGAGCTGCAGCTCCACTCAGGGTGGGGGATTCACACGTGGGGGGTGGGCAGAAAGCTCCGGGATCCCAGAGATCCTCGAGTGACACCAGGTTGGGAGCCTGGAGAGTGCCTGAGGACGGCTGGCGTCACTGTGCGTAATAATTATGTAAATTAAATAGAATGTATTTATACATTATATTATACGTATTATATATTTATATTACTCTGTTCCAATAGAGTATTTGGAGCCAGAACCCGCCTGTGGCTGACAGGGATCCCCTTCCCCCGGGCCCGGGGCACCCACTACTCTTCACCAGCTGCTGCTTCCAAAAAGGAATGGGAGAGCAGAGGAAGGAAAAGCTCCAAAAATACCCGAGCTGACAGGAACAAACGATTACCCGGGGAACACGTGGCTTTCCTGGCTGTCATCTCCTGCCAGGGAGAAGTCCTGCTGCCACCATCTGCGGGATGTGCTGCCCTCCCACCCATCAAAGGGTCCCCAAAGTTGGCACAGGGGTGGCGAGTCCTGGAGCTAAATTCAACCTGAGTTCCCAGGCAAAGAACTGAGGACAGTGTGGCACCGATGTTACACCAAGAAGCTGGGTGTTTCCCGGGCTGGGGTGATTGTGCTCCTCTCAGGGGATGTTGACCAGYTGGGGAAACTGAGGCAGGAGGCAGCTGGCAGTAATTGCACTGGCAGTGGTGTGAAAACTGAGCTGGGCTGCTGGCGTCCCACAACAGACCTGTCTGTCTGTCTGCCAGTCCACGCATCCCTCTGTCCATCCATCCTGCTGTCTGTCCATTTACCTGTCTCTCCATCTGCCCACCCCTGTGTCTGTCCACTCACCCCTCTGTCCATTTCCCTGTCTGTCTATCCATCCATCCCTCTGTCCATCCACCATCCATCTTCCTGGCCATCCATCCACCCAGCACCCTGTCCATTCACCTGTCTCTTCATTCACCCATCCATCTGTCCATCCACCCACCCCACCATATGTCCACCTCCTCTGTGTTCACCCCTCTGGCCATCCATTTACCTGTCTCTCCATCCACTCCTCTATCTGTTCACCCACCCACACCTCTGCTTGTCCACCCCACTATCTGTCCACTCACCAGTCTCTCCACACACCCATCCCTGTGTCCATCCATCCATACATGTCTGTCCATCCCTGTGTCCATC